GCCTCTAGGCCCCAAACATCTTTGTTGCTCTTCTCTGCACGCTTTCTAGAGTCTCAACATCTTTTTTAACAGTGTGGTGACCAAAACTGGATACAATATTCTAGGTGTGGCCTTATTAAGGTTTTATAGAATGGGACTACAGTAGTACTTCACATGATCTTGATTCAATCCCTCTGTTAATGCAGCCTAGGATTGCATTGGCTTTTACTACTGCAAGGGAATGATTGAAGTGGAGATTGTACCTTCCCTCACAAGGAAGCCTCCAAGACCAAAGTGTATATTAAAGAGCCTTTAAAATCTAGGCATCTAGACCAGAATTCAAAGTAGTTCTCAAGCTTCTGTTCTGATTGTCTGGGATACATATATTAATATACATCCTGCTAGTGATAATTTTAGAAATGAAGAGGGATACTAAGTTTTTGGCAAAAATATCCTTTCCTCTTCTCCCAAATTGGCTAATGGGTTTCCCCTAAGAAGTGGTTTGAATGTGCAGTAAAGATTGGTCTGCACTGAAATGGCTTCTCTTGTACCATTCTTGCTTCCCTCTAACTCTCCAAAAACCTCTTTGGAGCAGTGGGCAGAAAATAGAACCTGTCTCTCACACCACATTTTGGGATCACAAAGGAAGGTTTATCTTCTTCACTAGAGTCGCCAAACCCTATTAGTAGAGCAAATGACTTTCTGGGGTAGGCCCTTCTGGCATGACCATAGTTGCCTCATCATTTGTAATGTAGAAGTTACCATGCTGGGCAAGCCCAGCTTGGTTATTTGCAGTAAAAATGAAGTGTTGCCAGCCATCAATGATTGCTTCAAGAGGATAAGACAATGCTGGTATGTGTGTGTATGTATGTGTGTATCTGTTTCCTTTCTTGGACATATCTCTTCAGTGATAGCTGCACAGAGAGTCACCCTTATCTTCTTGGTATCAGTGTTGTGTGAGTAATGTCAAGGGGCAGTAACTTCTTTCAGTTGAATTTTCAAAATCATGCTAAATGTTTGCAAATTAGGATGTACCAAGACAGGGTGACCTAGCCTGGCACCCATTTACTTCCAAGCAGATAGAACAAAATCATTGACTCCTCCTAGATGCTTTCTTTACCTCTAGCATAACCTGATGTAGTTGAAGAATGGAGTTTAACTGCTGTTGAAGTCCTTCCTCCTGACTTTCTGCTCTTGGCTGTAAAGAGAAGAGGAAGAGAAGCTTCTCTTACATCAGTGGCTGTTGCAATAGGTTTCCTCATTTGAGGATACGTTTATATATGGGCACTATTACTCATTGTAAATATCCTGTTGATGTGTGAAAAGCAGAATATTTTAACTAATATTACTTATAAAATGTATTTATTAAAAGTCAAGATTCATAGTTTAAAATGTGCAGTATGGTTAATGGTTCAAGAAGAACATTTTAATTAAAAGAAAAAAAAAAGAAAAAAATCAAATCAGCAGGCTTCAAAGTGAGTACAGTGAGTCAAATTCTTACTGTAGACATAGTTTAGTTTTAAGGTGAATGTGAAGAAGGTGTTTTTTTTTCCTTGACAACTTTATACTTCCGCTTTGGAAATTCTCTTAACCGACTAAATTTGTTCTTGAAATTAATCAAAGGTCACATAGCTGCATTCTTTCAATAAAACAGCACGTTTGACATCTTTATTGTTTTGCCCACTCCAATATGTGCTGTTCCTCTCTTTTTTTGTAGCACCATCAATTCTAAAGAATAATGAAGTCCGATTTGTAGATACAAACAACAAAGTTATAGTCATAAGATCTAAGGGAATAGGGAATACGAAAGATGAGAAGGAATACATTAATACAGTAAATTACATTAAGTAAGTAATATAGCCCTACTACATGGTTTGACATCCTAGGGCCGTGGCGGTGAACCTATGGCACGCATGCCACAGGTGGCACGCAGAGCCCTCTCTGTGGGCACGTGCGCCGTCACTCTAGTCCTAGGCCTTCAGCTGGGTTTTATAAAACCTTTTCACTTTAGGCCTCCGCCGCCTTGTGCAAAAAAAAAAAAAAGGTTCAATCAATCAATTTCAACTTCTTGCGGGGGGGGGGAAAGGATCTCGCAAAGTTGGAATTGATTGATTGAACTTTTTAGTCCCACCCAGTCTGCCGTTATCACCACAGCCACGCCCACCCAATGGGCCACACCCACCCAAAGGGCCACACCCATCCAGCACCCGATGATACATAAGTGGATTTTGGGTTACAGTTTGGGCACTCGGTTTTTAAATGTTCGCCATCACTGTCCTAGGGAATAAGACAGTGTAGTGGGAATTAGTTGTTTAGCAGAGTGGGAGGAGGGGGATCTGTCCTTCTGTCTGGTTATTTTGGCGTGCAGTGCCCTATTAGTGTCGTCTTGAGGGAAGAAATTGAAACAGTTTATGTCCAGGATGTGAGGGGTCTGTAGATATTTTCACAGCCCTCTTTCTGGCTCGTGCAATATACAGGTCCTGAATGGAAGGCGGCTGGTAGCAGTAGTTTTTTCTTCAGTCCTAACTATTTGTTGAAGTCTGTGTCTTTCTTGTTTGGTTGCTGTGCCAAATCAGACAGTTATACTGTAGAGGTACAAATGACGGTCTTGATAATTCCTCTGTTTAACTGTATCAGCAACTCCTTAGGCAGTCTGAGCTTTCTGTGTTGGCACAGGAAGGACAATCTTTGTTGTGCTTTTTTGATGAAGTTTTGATGTTAGGTGTCCATTTTAAGTCCTGATATATATAGAACCTAGAAACTTGAAGGTCTCTACTGTTGATACCATGTTGTCTAGTATTGTAAGAGGTAGTAGAATAGAAGGGCTTCTCCTAAAATCTACTATCATCTTTACAGTTTTGAGTGTGTTCAGTTCAAGATTGTTCTGGCCACACCACAGGGCCAGTTGTTCAACTTCCCATCTGTATGCAAATTCATCATCATCTCAAATAAGATCAATCACTGTTGCATCATCTCCAAACTTCAGTACTTTAATAGAGGGATCCTTTGAGATGTAGTCATTGGTATAGAGCAGGGGTGTCAAACTGCCGGCCCACGGGCCAGATGTGTCACACTAAAACCGCGCCCACCCCATTGCCGGCAATAGGAAAAAAGTCGCAAAATGTTGCGACACGTCACATGACATCTTGAGTTTGACACCCGTGGTATAGAGAGAAAAGAGTAATGGAGAGAGCATACAGCCTGGGGGGGGGGTACCTGTGTTAATTTACAGCTATCTGATGTGATTTTGCCTAGCTTCACCTGCTGGTTTCCTATTTGTTAGAAAGCTTATGATCCACTTACAAATGTGGTCAGGCACAGCTAGCTAAATCAGGTTAGTGAGAAGAATATCTGGAATGGTAATATTGAATACCAAGCTGAAATCTACAAAAAGGTCCTTGGAGATTCAATATAAGATGTAGTAAGTGAAGAAAAAGAGGGAAAGAAGTAAGTTGGTTTGAGGTGGGATGCGGTTTGGGGGGAAATGGGCGGGCAAGACCGAATGTGGCGTGTATCAATTTGTTTTATTTTTTATCTGAAGTATTTGTAAGATTGTTATGTATTGTAAAGTTGAAAATAAAAATTTTTACAAAAAAAAAAAAGGTGTAGTGCAGTGCCATGTTAACAGCATCTGCTGAGCTATTTGTTTGGTAGGCAAATTGCAAAGGGTCTAACAGTGGATCCATGATGGTTTTCAGGTAGGCCAGCATTAACCTTTCAAAGGTTTTCATAACTAGGGTGTCAGAACAACCGGTCTGTAGTCGTTCAGCTCCTTGGTGGAGGGTCTCTTTGGCACTGGGATGATAGTAGAGTGTTTGAAGCAAGAAGGAACATGTGGGTGAAGATGGGGGGGGGGGCGATTGCTCAGCACAAACTTTCAAGCAAGAAGGAGTTATCTTGTCTGGGCCTGGTGCTTTTCCAGGCTTTTGTCTGTGAAATAGATCTCGCACATCTTTTTCTGTGATCACCAGAGGTGGGGGGCCCAGAGGTATGGAGTCAGTTGTAGGAAACGTGGCTGTTGTTGGTGTCTCTGAGATATTTTATATTTAATGATAGAAATTCTTCAAAAGCAGCTTGTTAGTAAAATCAACATAAATTTGCCATCTTTTCAAATCCCTAACCTGATATATTTTGGGTACTGAATAATCATCCAAAATAGCTGAATAAAGATAATGTGACATTGTGGATCAGGGATAATTAAATGCCCTGGGTGTATGGATATATTCTCTAGTTAGATATCATGGCAGAAAGCCCAGAGTTGGTTGTGCAAATGAAGCTGTAGAAGATACCTACTTACTTTATTTACTATTGTTATCTACTGCTACTGACTACTGTACTGGAATTCATCATCCAGCATGTGTAGTTGTCACAGGGCAGGGAGACAAATCCAAGTGTATGCTGCTCCAGAATAAGCCTTTTAAACCTTCAAGTGCTATATGTGAGTCTGCTAACTTTAAAATCTGAGAGATGATGATTCAACCAAGACAGCTTAAACCAAGATAATTGTCTTAGAAGAAACTGGGACTGAAAGCTGAGAATTCCACTAAATTGTGATCTTTTGAGCTGTCTCGTGTTAAGTGACAATCACAGTATGTGTTGAGCAATGAAGACTTGTCATGCTCGCTTTTAGATCTGAATAAGAAAAAAAAGTGCATGTACATTACCCTTCCTTCTTATGTTCCCTATATTGACAGAGAAGGTCTGAAAATAAATTATTCTTACATTGAGCTGAATGGGATTACAAGGCCCATCTATCTAGGAATTGATCGCTGTGCAGGAATCCCCATCAAGGGAAGCACTATGATGCTTGTGCTGAACAGGTATACTAGGTCTTTTAAGACATCCCCTGCCAACAAGAAAGGTAAGAGAGGATGTTGATGGAGTAGGTGAGCACATCTGTCTCTCTGTCTTGCTTAAGGGGTTATCATGCCTGAATGTGACTTCTGTTTGCAGGCTCCAGAATGTGTGGGATTCTGCTCTGGCCTTGAGCTTCACTAGAGATTACCATTTTCCTCCCTTAGATGGCCTCTGCAAATGACACTCGACAGATGCCCAAGGATGCTGCTGACCAAAACTTTGATTATATGTTCAAGCTTTTAATCATTGGCAACAGCAGCGTAGGCAAGACATCGTTTCTCTTCCGATATGCTGATGATTCCTTTACTTCAGACTTTGTTAGTACTGTTGGTATCGACTTCAAGGTGAAAACTGTCTACAGGAATGAAAAAAGAGTCAAGCTGCAGATTTGGGTAAGATGTTTTGCTGTTCATGGGAAGCAGAGTATAGGAACTATAACCTGAAGTTGGCACAGCTCTAGATCAGGCAACCAGTCTGTGCCTGGGCAGTTCAAGGACTGTAAATGGGCATACATTACTTTCTTTGGCTAAATCTTAAGAGGGAGAAGGAGCAGTAGAGAATAATGAAAACATGCAATCTTAATTAAAGGAGACCACAATCTAGTTAACCTGCTGTATTTCTGAGCTTTGGGGAGGTGTTGTATTGATATAATCATTACATATCCTCTTACATTTCAGCATCTTTAAGAGTTTTTCCCCTTACATGAAAAGGAAGAGTACAGTACTCATTTGGTATAAAATTATATTTCTGTGCTCCTGCCGATTCATGACATATCAATTGATGGGTCAACATGCATGTTGTCAGCAGTGAGGTAGATTTCCTGAGTAAGAACTAAAATTGAAGAAAATATCTCCAAAGCAATTGGAATCCTCAGTTCTCCTTCCCAGGATGTTGCTTTTATTGATTTAAAATCAGCCTTCGATTGCAGGGAAGCAGGAATAAGCATGCATGAATTTCTGTACTAGAAACTCTAAATTACTCATTGATCAGTCACTGACCTGCCTTCTCTGATGCCTGCTCATTTATCAACTAATGTCTCCTCTTCTAGCTAATCCAGAAGTATATAAAACATAAAACTTCCATACAATTTCCAACTGAATGATAATTGGAGAAATTATCGTACTAGTGCCTTTCTTAAAAAGTGGGACACTGATAGAATGTTTCTAGTCTTTAGGCATTGGAAAGTGTTAGTAATAGATGTAATTAGAGAGGCCAAAGGGAGAGTATGAATAGATTTGTAAACTTAAAAACACATATTTTAAACAGCCATATCAATATTTATTCTTGGAAAGACATATGTGAAGATTAATTTCAACACTTTTATTGTTTTTGTTTATTTTTGTTTTATAATTCTTTTTTATTTTCCCCCCAAGATGGAATACAAAATACAACATGAAAAAAACAACAAAACAAGAATTACAAACAGGACACAAAAAAGGAAGAAAAAAAGTGTATATAACAAATATAAAATTAACAGTAAACATATAACCTCCAGCCTAGATGGAATGATGATATCTAACACAAATCTAATAGGCTCCCCCCCCCCCACTTGCATTGCAGGTCTAAAATAGTTATATGTTTTTCATCTATACTTGCTAAATTACTATTTTACAACACATTCTCTTAACAAATACCCCAAATATATAAATCTATTGCCTGTCAATCAAATCAACCCAATACCTCTTCACTGAAAGCAAGCTGTTAACTGTTAAATCCCCAAAATAAATTTCAAGCCATCTGTTAACAGTCTGTTATTATATTTAACTTGCAGAAACTCCACAATGTTTTTGTTCTTTGTACCTTTGAGTCAGGCTTGACTCCTAGTGACTTCCTGGCCTAGATTCTGCGGGTCTTCTTAGCAAGGTTTTTCAGAAGTGGTTTGCCATTGTCTGATCCACAGGGCTGAGACAGTGTGATTGGCTTGTGTTCACTCAGCTGGCTTTGTGCCTCAGGTGGGACAAAACTCCTAGTTTCTAGCCTGATGCCTTAAACTGCTATACCAAACTGGCTAAATATGTTTAATATGGCTAAAAATGAATCTGCATTTGAATAAAACAAATTTTAACTTTTTTTCCTGACCTTTGCCATTGTTTTAATTTTTCAGCTGATATTATTTCCCCACTTTTTAATAAGATGGATCCAATTAAAATGTGTTTTAACTATTATTTAGGTGTTAGGTAACACAGGAAAAACCTAAATGAATGCTTTTTGTTGCAATGGTTTAAATTATTATTGTAATGGACCATCTTCTAATGAAGTAGGACCTTGGCTGGAGGTATCCAAGTATCAGTTTACACAATGGCCTTTGACTCAAAGCACAGAGCCTACATCATTCGGTTGCCAGGGCCACTGAGCAGTGAGGCCAGATAATTTGCTATTCTGGTGTGTTTAAGGCCCCAAGCTTCATGGGCTTGTTGTTTCTTATTAGTGTCAACTAATAAGATATTTGGCAACCATGTGATAATCTTGTGTACATGCTCGATGCAGCATTATGCACAGGCAGAAGCTGCTGACATTGTCACCGAATGTCACCCAAGGGGCCATGACTTTAATAGAGGAAAAGATACCAAGTATCTCCCACCCTGTGACAACTCCCTAATCTTTAATAGGATGCAACAATTTATTTAAAACATTTGTAAATTAACATAATGCTGAAAGGCTTGAATAAATGGAATATGCATACTTTCTATACAATGGTATGTGACAACTTGTCAGCACTTTCATCATTTGACTAAGGGTTCTTAGAAAAGATAGATTAACCACTAGATAATTTTGGTTTGCTTCCTACATGTGACATCAGATATAGAGCATCTTTCAACAACAATAAACACTTTGTGAAAAAGGCTGGTTTCATTTATGCTCCTTGATAAAGCTGAGTATAGTGCTCAAGAAGAGGAAAAAAGAGTAGAAAAATAGGGCCGGCCTAACAATACCCACCCATGTGGTTTTCAGAGTTTGTTCTATATTGGAAGGAACAATATGCACTAAAACCCAGTATCTTATTCAAGCAAATAATAAATATCAGACCTAGTTAGGCTGCATTGATTTTTTTTTTTGAGTGGCCATGATTATTTTTATTTGGAATCCTGTATACAATCTTCCCTTGTTTTTTTCTACATTCTTTTTCCTTTTTATGTAGAGAGATTTTGTTTCATTGGTTTAATAAGACATTTCTTATTTAAAATGTTCCCTATGTGCAAGATTGCATGGTTAGGCAGCTAGATTGCATATGAGGTTTTAGGTATAATTCATTATCTAGTATAAAATCATTTCTTGGTAAAATGTCTAAGAGTTCCCTTGCTAGATAGATGAGGGTTCTTTAACTATGGAACCCTTGAAAGCCAGGATTGAACAGGCAATTGAATGAGAGATTGAATGATCTCTCTCCTAGTGTATCTTTTACACTCCCTTGTGATCTCTAAGGCAGCAGTCCCCAACCTTTTGTGGCTGCAAGGACCGGCAGCTCTGAAAGTGGGGAGGGGAATGGTTTCGTGCGTGAAGCCTAAATGCTGCACATGTACAAATGAAGCTTTGTGCACTCACTTGCCATTTTGATGGTCCTTCCCAATGGGCCGTGGCCCGGGGTTTGGGGACCCCTACTGTAAGGGATGTGATAGCTAGCTGCATCAGAACAGGACACTTGCCTCTAATTTTTTTATTCCTTTTAAAATAATAACAGAAAAAGGGAAAAAAGCAGAAGGAACAAAACACAAAAATATATACATTATCAAAATACATAGCAAGTGTTTAAAAATAAATGAAAAACCACAACAGATAGAGAGTACAATACATTGGGACAATAAACAGCTACAATTGTATATATATAATTATCTAATGCAAACATTATTCAGGTATATACATATATTTATCAAATGTAACTCAGTTGAAATATTTATAGTAAAACATCTGTTAACAACATTGTTTGAACCAGCACCATTTGGAGTTCTGAGACATCCTAGATATCAAAACAACTGGTTAAATCTTTTAAAATTAGAAAATCTATTATAGGCTTCTATGAATATTTGTTATCAATTAATTTGATATGCAGGTAGTAAGAAATGAGTAGGATAAAGAATTACAGGTTCCTATATTGCCTAGACAATGGGGTAGTGTTTTAACCTCTATACCTAAAATGTCAATGGACATAAATCTACAATTTATACATCAAAAAGAATACTTAGAATTTATTGAGCTCCATTATATTTGTATAGAAAAATATTATCTAAGAGCATTTTGTTGGAGATGTAATAAAGACACTGTCCTATACTTACTAAGTTTTGGGGAAAAGTAGTGAAATATATAAATATAACTGCAAAAAAAGCTAAAATGTTCAGAGGATAATATTCTCTTCAACAAGCTGCATACTACATGGAATTTAACAAGTGGACAATATAAATGGTTTCTCCATCCACCTTTACCTAAAGGACTGATACTGCGACATTGGAAGATAAATGTAAGGCTCCATTTACTCAATCCCTTTTATGGATTACTGCCTTGTCGTGGCGAAGGGGCTTATGTAACTCAATGAAGCTATAAGCTATGCCGTGCAGGGCCACCGAAGACGGACAGGTTATAGCAGAGAGTTCCAACAAAATGTGATCCACTGGAGAAGGAAATGGCAAACCACTCCAGTATCTTTGCCATGAAAACCCCATGGACAGTACTAAAAGGCAAAAAGATATGACGCTGGAAGATGAGCCCCTCAGGTCGGAAGGTGTCCAATATGCTACTGGGGAAGAGCAGAGGGCTAGTACTAGTAGCGCCAGAAAGAATGAAGCGACTGGGCCAAAGCCGAAAGGACGCTCAGCTGTGGATATATCTGGTGGTGAAAGGAAAGTCCGATGCTGTAAAGATTTTTTCTCCATAGGAACCTGGAACGTAAGATCCATGAATCAAGGCAAGCTAGACGTAGTCAAAAAAGAGATGACAAGACTGAACATCAACATCTTAGGAATCAGCGAACTAAAATGGACAGGAATGGGTGAATTTAACTCAGATGACCATCAGGTATACTACTGTGGGGAAGAATCCCTCAGAAGAAATGGAGTAGCCTTTATAGTCAATAAAAGAATAGGAAAAGCAATACTGGGATACAATCCCCAAAATGACAGAATGATCTCAATTCGAATCCAAGGCAAACCATTCAATATCATAATAGTCCAAATCTATGCCCCAACCACTGGTGCTGAAGAGGATGAAATTGACCGGTTCTATGAAGCCCTACAGCACCTTATAGAATTAACACCAAAAAATGATGTCCTTATCATCATGGGGGATTGGAATGCTAAGGTAGGAAGCCAAAAGATAACCGGAATAACAGGCAAGTTTGGCCTTGGAATACAAAATGAAGCAGGGCACAGGCTAATAGAATTTTGTCAAGAGAATACGATGGTCATAACAAACACTCTTTTCCAACAACCCAAGAGACGGCTCTGCACATGGACATCACCAGACGGTCAACATAGAAATCAGATTGACTATGTGCTCTGCAGCCAAAGATGGAGAAGCTGTATACAGTCAGTAAAAACAAGACCAGGAGCTGACTGTGGCTCAGATCATGAGCTTTTCGTTGCAAAATTTAGGCTTAGGTTGGGGAAAAGCACTAGGCCACTCAGGTATGAACTAAATCATATTCCTGATGAATATACAGTAGAGGTGACAAATAGATTTAAGGAATTAGATCTGATAGACAGAGTGCCTGAAGAACTATGGATGGAAGTTCGCAACATTGTACAAGAGGTAGCAACTAAAACCATCCCAAAGAAAAAGAAATGCAAGAAAGCAAAATGGCTGTCTGAGGAAGCTTTGCAAATAGCTGAGGAAAGAAGGGAAGCGAAAGGCAAAGGAGAAAGAGAAAGATACACCCAATTGAATGCAGAATTCCAGAGAGTAGCTAGAAGAGATAAGAATGCCTTCTTAAATGAACAGTGCAAAGAAATAGAAGAAAACAACAGAATAGGGAGGACCAGAGATCTCTTCAAGAAAATTGGAGATATGAAGGGAACATTTCATGCAAAGATGGGCATGATAAAGGACCAAAATGGCAGAGACCTAACAGAGGCAGAAGAGATTAAGAAGAGATGGCAAAACTACACAGAAGAACTATACAAGAATGAGCTTAACATCCCAGATAACCACAATGAGATGGTCACTGACCTCGAACCAGACATCCTAGAATGTGAAGTGAAATGGGCCTTAGAAAATCTGAGCAACAACAAAGCTAGTGGAGGTGACAGTATTCCAGCTGAGCTATTCAAAATCTTAAAAGACGATGCAGTAAAAGTGCTACACTCAATTTGCCAGCAAATTTGGAAAACTCAACAGTGGCCACAGGATTGGAAAAGGTCAGTTTACATTCCAATTCCAAAGAAAGGCAATGCCAAAGAATGTTCAAACTATCGCACCATTGCACTCATTTCACATGCTAGTAAAGTTATGCTTAAAATCCTACAAGCTAGACTCCAGCAGTATGTGGATCGAGAACTACCAGAAGTACAGGCAGGATTTCGAAGAGGCAGAGGAACTAGAGATCAAATTGCCAACATACGCTGGATCATGGAGAAAGCTAGGGAGTTCCAGAAAAACATCTACTTCTGCTTCATTGACTATGCAAAAGCCTTTGATTGTGTGGATCACAACAAATTGTGGCAAGTTCTTAAAGAGATGGGAGTACCAGACCATCTTATTTGTCTCTTGAGAAACCTATATGCGGGTCAAGAAGCAACAGTGAGAACCGAACACGGAACCACTGATTGGTTCAAAATTGGAAAAGGAGTCCGGCAAGGCTGTATACTGTCGCCCTGCCTATTTAACTTATATGCAGAGCACATCATGAGAAAGGCAGGGCTAGATGAATCAAAAGTTGGAATTAAGATTGCCGGGAGAAATATCAACAACCTAAGATATGCAGATGATACCACTCTAATGGCAGAAAGTGAAGAGGAACTAAAGAGCCTCTTGATGCGGGTGAAGAAGGAGAGTGCAAAAGTTGGCTTGAAACTCAACATTAAGAAAACCAAAATCATGGCATCCGGCCCTTTCAATTCCTGGCAAATAGATGGGGAAGAAATGGAGGTAGTGACAGATTTTATTTTTCTGGGCTCCAAGATCACCTCAGATGGGGATTGCAGCCAAGAAATTAAAAGACGCTTGCTCCTGGGGAGGAAAGCTATGGCAAATCTAGACAGCGTACTAAAAAGCAGAGACATCACCCTGACAACAAAAGTGCGTATAGTCCAGGCCATGGTTTTCCCAGTTGCAATGTATGGCTGTGAAAGTTGGACCATAAGAAAGGCTGAGCGTAAAAGAATTGAGGCCTTTGAACTATTGTGCTGGAGAAGACTCCTGCGAGTCCCTTGGACTGCAAGGCGTTCAAACTGGTCAGTCCTAGACGAGATCAACCCTGACAGCTCTTTAGAAGGCCAGATCCTGAAGTTGAAACTCAAATACTTTGGCCACCTAATGAGAAGGAAGAACTCACTGGAAAAGGGCCTAATGCTGGGAAAGATTGAGGGCAATAGAAGAAGGGGACGACAGAGAATGAGATGGCTGGATGGAGTCACTGAAGCAGTAGGTTTGAACTTAAATGGACTCCAAAAGATGGTAGAGGACAGGAAGACCTGGAGGAACGTTGTCCATGGGGTCGCGATGGGTCGGACACGACTTCGCAATTAACAACAACAACAAATTTACTCAATGGACTGAAGACTGGATTATATTTGCTATCTATTAATGGATTGCCTATAGACATAGATTTTGTATGGATATAATAAGGAAATGGGAACTCTTTTTCAAAGTACTATAGGTTTAAAAAGTATGGTAGTTATTATAAGTGTATTAGAATAATATAATGAATAATGAATGTTTGTGTTAGATAATTATACATAGAGTTTGTAACTATGTTTAGTGGATGTCTGTAATGTTAATAAAATATGATTAATGCTGATGTTCTTGAGGCACAACATAGATGTCAACTCTTGAAAAAAATGCTAGTAATTATATACTATTGTGCCATATTGGTATGAGAGTCCATTATATTGACTAAGAAGTTCTGGGAATTGTAGTGCAGTGCATCAGAGCAACAGGTTGGGAAAGTGTGCTCTAGGTGGGCTCATTCCATACAGCTTGTATGCAATTTGCTAATTGTCTATAGCTTCAGTCTGCAGTCCTTAATGGTGCTTTTTTAAATTGGAGAAAGCACCATCTGTTTCTAAGAAAAGAATGACTCTCTTTGGATCTGCATATTTGCATACTGCCCCATAAGACTGAAAAGATAGTTCTCTGATTTTTCTCATTGTTGGGTTGGCCCTTGTTCCATGTGGTTGTTTTGGAGGAAGGGACAGACTAGCATATTCCATCAAAAGAACCCTCAGGCCAAAATCCTCACAAGCTGAAGTGTAGATGAGAATCTCTCTTCCTCTTGTGGCTTTATGGTCTGTGCTTTGATAACAATTCCACACTGGGGAAGCATTTCCACACTAGTGAACTTTTTAGGTCAGGAACTTACTGTCCTTTCTACCCTTAGTCTTTGATAATGCATCAGAAGCAACCCATTTCCAGTTTGCTGTCCTCTTTTCCCTCATTTAAATGTTCCATTAAGCTTTCAAGCTCTTTAAATTTTAACTAGAGTCAAATGCCAACTCTCACATACACCAGTGCCATCATGGAAATGCTGCCCTCAACCAGAGATTATTGTAAAAGGAGATTGTATGTCAGAGCCCTGCTGAGTAAGCCCTGGTTTCCACAGTAACAATGAGTCTTTGGGCTCCAGGAACAGATGTCAGGACAATCCAGGAGGAGTCTAGTTTCCATATGCTCTTCCATAGCCTTTCTGTGCCTGTGCTTTGTAGGTAGCCTTATCTCACTTGATTGTCATGTTTTCTCGGAGACTGCTTGAAACCATGAACAAGTAGAATTGCTTTAGATTATAGATTTCCCCCAATGGGATTTCTGAACTTTTGAGATTGACTGAGGTTGGGCATACTCTGCATCTGTTAGCCACAGGTCAATCTGAAAAATGAAAAGACTCTTGTATCAATGCAGCAAGAGCTATGTTGAGCTAGGGGTGCTGCTTGATAGGTTGATCTATTACACAAGTAGGCAAGATGGGAGGTCACAGAAATTTCTGATGATAATGAAAAAAAGAGGATAGATGAAACTGACTTCAAGGCTTGACAAAACAAGTAGTTAGATAGGGATCTCTACAGGGGGGGCTTTGTTTGAAAGGGGAAGTCATCTAACGAACAGTGTCCTTTTTCCGTTTCTGTCTTTCTAAGGACACAGCTGGCCAAGAGCGATATCGGACCATCACAACAGCCTACTACAGGGGAGCAATGGGTTTTTTACTCATGTATGATATTTCCAACCAGGAGTCTTTCAGTGCTGTACAAGACTGGTAAGGTTTGCTGCACAGAATCCTGAGTTGGAACAGGGACTTCTTCTGTCAAGAGAGTTATTTCCAGTTATGGAAACAGACTTTGAAATGTGCTCAGTTGATAATGTAACCATCTTGCTATTTAGGAACTTGCTCAGGGCCAGAATTGCTTACCAGTACATTAAGGGGCCAAAGCTGAGTTGGAGAACAGTGTCTCAGGTGCACAGCAGCTCCTAGGTTCCATTACTGATGTCTCCAATTAATGGATTTTGGCAATAGGGAAATATCAGGGTCCAAAATAACACTGCCAGTCATAACAGGTGACATTGTATGGCTTTATCAACTGACTCATTATAAAGTAACTTATTATAAATCAGGATACATGCCCCCATTGTACACCAGTAGTCCTCAATTCATGACTGGTGTTTAACAACTGTTCAGAGTTATGACAGATTCAGAAAGAGACCTTTATAGCTCTCTTCTTCTCACTTCTGGCTGTTATACAATATTGTGCTGTGCCGTTTCTCCCCCCCCCCCCGCAGTCACATGACTGCATTTTAGGCACTTGGCAACAGGCTCACATTTAACTGGTTACAGCATTCCGTAGTCACATGTTCATGATTTCCAATGTTTTTGCTGGTTTCTGCAACAAATGCCCATTTGAGAGAAGAGATTTGCATTTATGATGAAATACATTATTTACTGAACACTGTAAAAACAATCATAAAGTCAGGTCTGGTCACATGGATGTCTCAACTTATGACTGTCACAACTTATGACCAAAATTCTGTTCCCAATTGCAGTCATATGAACTACCTGTACAATCTAGCTGATGTGGTAATGTTCTATGCTACTGGAAGAGTCTGTTGCTTGTACATAGTTTCAAAATCCTTAAAATATCTAAGAATCTGATATGGCACAAATATCTGTCATGAATATAGGGCAGGATATTGGATTATCCTCTTCTCACACTCCAAATATGAGGTTTTTCTGCTGTACAATTTTTGCTTAACAGAATAACAGAGTTGGAAGAGACTTTGGAGCTCTTCCAGTCCAACCCCCTGCTCAAGCAGGAGGCCCTATAATATTTCAGAAAAATATCTATCCAATCTCTTCTCAAAAACCTCCAGTGATGGAGCACCCACAACTTCTGGAGGCAAGTCATTTCACTGTTTAATTGTTCCTATTGTCAGGAAATTTCTCCTTTCTTCTAGACTGCTTCTCTCCTTGATTAGTTTCCATCCATTGCTTCTTGTCTTACCTTCTGGTGCTTTGAAAAATGTCATTAGATTAGGCATACCCAATTCCTGCAACTGTTCTTCATATGTTTTAGTCTTCAGCTCCTCGCTCATCTTTATTGCTCTTTTCTGCACTCTTTTCAAAGTCTCAACATCTTTTTTATAATATGGTGATCAAATATACTTAATATGCCTTATAGTAGAAGAGAGCCTTTTGGGGAAAATGACCCCAGATGCTTAGGCAGGTCTTCAGGCAGAAACCTAACCATGTTGATTTGATGTACGTAATCTTTATGTGGTATCTAGCTTACTGTGAGCCAATCTTGTGCTAGAAAGACTAGACAGTAAACTGTTGGGATGGATTATAGATGAAAACTGGCATTCTATACCACACCATCTTTCTCTCTGCTTTTCACTAAACACTTTGTCTCCGTTAGTCTCAAGTCTCAATTAGTAGAGCAAAGAAGTCACCAACATTTTCATTTTTATAGTATGGACATAGATCTTTTAGCTACCAAATGCTTTGCTGCAAATTTATCTCACATTAGTCTTCGAGAAAGCCTGGAATCTCTTTGTCCAAATTAGCTGAGAAAATTGTTACATGATTGCAAATATTCCAAAATACAGTATTTCAGAAAAAAGAAATCCCACATTTTTGGTGGTGCCTGATCCATAAAAGCTCAACAGTACTAGTCTACTAGCTTTTGCACTGATATAAAACTCTTGGTTGCTTTTAGCAGTATTGTATAGCTTTACAAAATTTCTAACCTGCAAGCCGGTGTATTCATCCAAACTAAGAAATAAGTGCTGAATGTTGTAGATACTGTATCTCCAATTCCAGCAGTCCCTTAGTCCTAATTTAGATGGTGGATTTCACTGTGGCAGTTTGGCATGCTATCTTGTAACTTAGAAACTTAGGAAACATCCTGAAAAAGAACAGGAAATAAGAACAATAGCAAGAAACCAAGTCTCAGTGGTTTCCAGCAAAATGCAATAAATAGCAATCAAATCCACATCCCGAAATATATCAAACATAAAAAGGACCAAATCCTTGAACAACAATTATGATTTTAGCATTAAAAAATCAGTAGCAGTTAAAAACACATCTTCTGTGGAGGATAAGCTAGTGTAGAAGTGAGACCAATCTTCTCCTAAAACACGAGAAAGCAAGCAGACTGAAGAGCCAAGGAAGGGAATTCGACAGCACTGAAAAGCTCTTACGGATTCCAGACTTTATAGAGCAGGATGCACTTAGAGTGGAAAGCAGGCGAGGTCAAGCCATTTGGGCATTTAGATGGAATAACACTGTACCTTACATTGGAAATCTCTTGCAGCCAACTTAATCAGAAGAGATGCCATGTGCTAGAGAAGTTCTGGCTACTATTTTTAAACCTATTGCAGTATCTGGGAATCCTTACATAGGCTAGAAGAAAATAACCAGAAGATAAAGAACACCCAGATTATCTCTCTTTAGGAATGGATAAAATTGACAAGTCAGACAGAGGTGGGAAATAACACTTCTAATGACTGTTCTGAGTTTGGCATTCAGGATGGCACAGGTTCTGACCCTAAGTCCACAACCTGATCCTTCCAGAAAAAAAAATCCCTCTCCAGAGCAGGAAGAGTCCTTGTTGATGGGTTGAAACTTTCCCCCCAAATTCTGACTTGTTTGATGAGTGATATTTATTTATTTATTTAAATGTATTTGCAACCTGATTTCCAATGACATCAGGATCGGTACACAGGGAGAAGCAGCAGAGAGGAGATATGATCCCAGACTCCAGACCCCCACCCATATACTAGGCAGTGACTAAAGCCTTGGCCAAACTGCCTACCAGTTCCTCAGGGAAAACCCTAAACAGGCTGACTAGGCACTTTGGGGAGCTGAAGTCCATGCAACTTAAAGTTGCTGAGGTTGCAGAACACTGCTCTACTTTCTACACTGGGCTTCAGTGAAAAGCTGGCCCTACCTGCCTGGGCAAATCTTATGAAATGACTGTCTCTGGTCCCAGAATGGTCCCTCCAATAATTCACTGATCCTTTTCCTGAAATTCTAACCCATAAATAAGCTGAAGGCCCAACCACTAATAATCTCCCTGCATCTGTCAACTGAATTCCAAGCTCTTCCTTTTTCATATAATAAACCACATTCCCCAACCACCCATCAAACACTTCAAAATAGAACAAGAACAATTTTTCTGCAGACTACTCCACCACCAATGGTTGAAACAATGACAAGAATCTCTCCAGTCATTGCTTACACAACTTACTTTAACAAAACACATTTCTTACACAACTTACTCCAAAAATTCTTCAAACTCCAAATTATGACTCTGTTTTAGAAGTTATTCCCTTCTCTTTTTAGAAGTCATCTTCTTTCTGTCATATTATCTTTCTTCTGATATGTCCACCACCATATTCTTCTCTCTCTGGGAACTACCCATCCATCCTGACCCTTTTCTCTCCTTAGTCCACTGCAGTTCTAAAAAGAGCTTCCAGAATTATTGTAACTCATGCACTCAAAAGCTCATCTTAAAAAGTTGAGTGGCACTGGCAGTTGTAGGCTGTTGTCTACTAACTGATAGTTTCTGCTGTCAGGCATACCATCATTTGATGAGACCAGTGGGGATGATTGCAGAAGAAGTTAAGAAAGTTGAGACCTTCCTGTCTGAATAAGCCAAGTGATAGATTTTGTATTGGTATCTCATTCTGGGCGTGTGCAGACACTAAAGATTCAGATTTCCCTTTCTCCATTCCTGTCAATTAGGGAAAGTGGGGAAATCAACCACCATTCAAATCAACATTGTTCCTTTTTTCAAAAGTTGTAAATAATAGTGTATATGAACTGATGAAACGAGGATGATTCTTCTGCCTTGTGACTGTCACTGACTCTTCTTTTTAGGTTGTGAAATTACATATTCAATAGCAAATCCATTCCAGAATTTTTCTGTATCCCTCTCTTAGGGCAACTCAGATCAAGACTTACTCCTGGGATAATGCTCAAGTGATTCTGGTTGGGAACAAGTGTGACCTGGAGGATGATCGAGTAATACCCACTGAAGATGGCAAGAGACTTGCTGATGAACTAGGTTTGTTCCGTCTCTTACATGGGAACACCTCCAGATTAGACTTCTCCCTCAATCCTAAACCCAACAAAACAAGAAATGCCTTCCTTCCTCCTCCGCTCTCTTTCTCCCCTCCCACCTTCATGCTTCTCCTTCTCCTCCTCCTCCTCCTCCTTTTTAACAATTCTTCTTCTTCCAGGTTTAGAATTCTTTGAAGCCAGTGCCAAGGATAATATCAATGTCAAGCAGGTCTTTGAGCGCTTGGTGGACATAATCTGTGAGAAGATGAATGAGAGCCTGGATGCAAGCTCTGGCCTGAACAGCACCAATCACAAGAACACTGCCCTGAAGGAAACATCAGATTCACAGTCCAGCAATTGTTCCTGCTAGACAGGACTTTGCCCACCACTGAGACCTGCAGTGCCTCGCTGCCCTACCTAAGTGAGGAGGAAGGTTCAGCAGATTGCACATCTCCTTTGACTGATGGTTGGCGCATCTCCCGTTTGCCTCTGCTGTACCTGTTTGGCCTCTGACAGCATGCATCAGTTCCCTCCTTTTCTCTGCAGCATGATTGGCCTTTTCTGGCAAAGGGGTATGATTTCTTTTGAATATTTGCACTTCAGTTTACACTCCCAATGACATGTCTTTGCAACCTAGACAAATTAGACCTCTCTTTCAAACTGGGCACAACTTTCTCCCCATCTCTTTTCAATATTCTAGCAATTTGTCTCATATATATCTGCATTTGCATAAGCATGCTTCTTCCCCACCTTGCCTTCTCCCAGTATAAAACCTGCATAGGTTTAACTACTCCATGCGTTTAATTAAGTGAGCTGCAGTTCATAAAAGTTCATGCCTTTTAATAAAATGTTTTAGTTGGAAAGGGGCGACCTTATTCCTTCTGATTTTCTGCCAAATCCAGCCTTCTGCAATTTTCTCTATTTAAAAAATAAATCTCATGGCACTTTGAAGTGCCATGAATGATATTCTCATTCAGCCAGCCCTTAAGAACTGGATGTAGGTGAGGGAAAAATGTGTCAGGAATTCTGACAGTAGTTTTTTCTCTTCAGAATTGTTTACCCTAAGATGGATCATGCTTAATCAGAAAGCATCCACTCATCCAATCTCTTGGGTGTACAGGAATACCAAAAGTCAGGGGAGCAAGCAACCTTGCTCTTTCTGCTATGTGTCAACCGTTTCATTTGGCACTTTCAAGAAAAGAAATTCCTGGCTCTTTAGATTGACCAAGAGTGTAGCTTTATTGAAAAATCCATCTAGGCATGGCAGAAGCAAACTCATCTGGGATTTTCCTGCAAAACCCACATAGATAATTCCCATCTTCTCTGGGCCCACCCACAGTTCATAGTTCACCAATTGAGTTCAGTTCTTTTGCTTTAGGAGAAACTGCTCCGGTTAAATATTCTTCATCACTCAGCCTTGGTAGATAATGTTTCTCCAGCAACAGAAGATTCACTTGCATTCCATAGCCTCCCCTCCCTCCCCACCCTTAGGAATTCACCACCCTCCTCTGGTCACTGTTTGGCAAACCTGCAAGTGAAAGCAGGTGCAGGTAATTTTGGAGTTAGGTGTGACACTATATCAAGTGAGGCTTGCAATGTCATCAGATAAGGCAGGGCTGAAATTTAACTCCATCAGTAGGGAATGTTTGGAGCAGTGAAGCTTTTAAGTGGCACAGGCCTGTTTTAAGGTTCACCAAATCTTATGTTTAACATAAAACATAGAATCATCAGGCTGGAAGGAATCTTGGAGGTCTTCTAATCCAACACTCTGCTCAAGGCAGGAGCCTTATGCCATCCCAGTCAAATGGTTGATGGCTAATCCCTTAAAATGCCTCCCAATTAAAAGGTGTCTAAACATTTTGGCTGTAAATGGGATGCTAGAGACACACATGCCACTTTTGGATTGCCTATCAATTCAAGCATCCATTGCTAACTACAAAGATATCAAAATGTGTGTTGTGATATCATGACACAAGCTCTGCCCATAGTAAGAGCTGGAGTTTACATCACTATATATTGGTGCAATTTTCTGATCACTTGCCTCCCTTTCCCCTTCTACAGGTGAGCCTTGTGTTTTTCTCTTGCCTCTCAAATTGAAGAGACATCCCAAATTCCTATTGACACAGTTCAGAAAGGCCCTTAACAAAGTGTCTCACAAAGCTTCAAAGGAACTGACATTTGAATCTTCCTGAATAGTGTTTGTAAGACCGCACTGGCTATGAAGCTTAATTTGTGCATTTAGTCTGTAAAAGAGTTCACACTCTTTTAGGCTCAGATTTCTCTCCCATCAGGCTGGCTGTTGTCTTAGAGCTTCCTTGTCTACAATCAAGAATCTTTATATTGTATTCTTGTAGAACATTCAGCAGATATTTTATTGAGGAGAGGGAACATAATACATGGACAACCATAATGCATAGTTGTCACAATTACATGCAGTAGAAGGTGGACTTAAATTTTGTCTGCTTCTCTGGCTCTAGTTTCAGGTCATCAGACTTGGTGGTTTAGGGAAGAGGGGAGAATTGCTGTTATGTAAACTCAGCTGAAGTGAAATAGGATCCCACTCTGACTTTCATACATATGGAAATGCCATTTCTAAGATGGGTGGTGACATAGAAAATGAGGGCATTGTCCATATTCTCTCAGATGCATGTTGCTTCAAACATGCCCACTTTGTCTTGGTGCTTGGTGATAGCAAGTAAATGTGAACTGGCCTGATGTAGAGAAGATCTTTTCAATTTATAAATGGCTAATCTGTGGTATGTAATGATAGGCGAACTTCCTGTAGCTACTGAATGGATTACTTTGATATGTCCAGAATTGAGAGATAGCTTGGCTTATTTTAGAACCACCTGAATTTGGATTTCACTTCCCCCTCCATCCCCTGAGAGAAAACCCTCTGTCCTATCATACAGTGTATTCCTAGAAGCACCCTTCAACTGCCATTTTCCAGATTTCTTCCCAATATTTTGCATCTCCAGCTTCAGATGTTGCTCTAAGAATGATATGTACTGTGTTTCCCTGAAAATAAGACCCGGTCTTATATATTTGTTTGGGTCCAAAAGATGCATTAGGGTTTAGTTCCAGGGAAACATGGTATCAGGGTGATCAGCCTGGCCGGGTGCCCCACCCCCCAGCACACACACAAGAGGCAGCAAGGGGGTGGGGGCTGACGGTGTCCGGCAGCAGCTGCAGCTCGCTGACTCCTTGGCAGGCACACTCTGGGACTGCGCAGCCTGCGCAGTGCAGGTGAGTTGATTATCTGTTCAAGCAGCAGGCGGAGGCAGAGACATAGGGGAGGAGGCAAGCAATCCCTATGCCTGCCTCCCCTTCATGTCTCTGCATGGTAACAGTGCCTTTGCACGTCGAGATCACCTACCTTCCCCCCCCCCCGTGCCTCTGCTTGGAGGGCCGGCCCAGTGATCACAGTGCTAGGACTCACCACTGCACAGGCTGTGGCCCCCGACCTCTCGCCACCTCCTGTGCTGGCCACGCCCCCCCCCCAAGCTGATGACAATTTTAACTGGCGCCTAATTTTGGGGTAGGGCTTATATTAGGAGCATGCCTAAAAATCAAACTAGGGCTTATTTTCTGGTTGGGTCTTACTTTGGGGGAAACACAGTAGATGGAAGTGAAAATAAAATTAATCTTAAAGCCCCCATGACTTTTTTTCTTTCTGCAAGAGAGTAGCATAACTACTTTTTGAAGAATATAAAAATATAGCATACTAGACTACCCATGAATGCTTGGGTTATCATTTTAGAGATATTTCCTTACTAGATTCCTCGGTGCCTTCAATAATAGCAGAGCTCTAATGTACTTGAAAAATTCTTAAAAATTTAGGGAGATGTTCAGAAATATATCTGCCTTGAAAAAAGCCCATGTTAAATTATATGGCACAGTTAATCCTCAGGAGCTGACTACAGGAAATGTTTATGGCATTCTGTATTATATCTTAAAATGCCCTATGATACATTTCCAGATGCATTTCTGTTTCCAAAAACTAATTTGATATGGCATTACTTGTCAGTGGAAGGGGCAACAAAAGCTTCATCCCCTGTATACAGGATGATCTGAAAGCAGGTGGGCTGAATAAATGTAGCAAGCATGGAAAAGAAATTTTAAAACAAACAGATTAAAGATCTGGTTTAGGTACAATAAAAAAGAGAGCAATATAGAAGGAAATTTTTTGCTTTTTTGTTTTTGAAGGTATTCCATCATAAGAAATGTAAACTTGATATATGCTGGGTATTGTTTAATGTCAAATTTGCAGAGCTTTGTATTGGTGCTTTTCTATCAACAAATAATTTGGAATGTCCTGCAGTATTATAAAAAGTATAAATAAATACTCTTAAGTTTTCTAGTAAGGAAGAATGGAAATATCCAAAGATTTACCAGGGACCTTCTATACAAAGACAAGTTCTATTATTAACTAAATTCAAATGAAGGCTTTGCTTGGCATTTCTTAGGGCATTATTCTGTTCATCAGTGTGCAAAGATTGTTTAACAATACTCAAAACTGAATTCTATTCATGAAACATTCCTTGCAACTTGAAAGTTTTCAATGTGCTGAGATGTTCTTTATATTAAGTTTTCTGATTTACTGTCAACATTTCCATAAAGATTTATATGTGTTGTCTATTTCCTTGGGAGTTCTGTTTTGTTCTTTACCACTAGCACACTGTATTGTTCTGATGACAGTTGTACTGCTGATCACATAGTAATGCAAGACCCAAGCTAAACCTTCCAAGAAGGTAAAGTCTCAGGGTTGAATTCTTCTCTTCCAGATCATCTGATTTCTAATTTTATATGAGCATAGGAGAGTTCTTATGCCTTGGACTTTCTCTTATTTATCATCACAATCTTCTGAAGCAAGAGAGAGGACACAACTCTGATGGTATGCTGCACAACTTTAATGCACAATATTCCAGTGGAACAGAGAACAGAAATAGATGGTTTAATTAATGAGAAGGAATTTTAGACCCCCTAATTCCTTTTCCTGCGGGAAAAACCCTTATTACATTATAATAATATTTTGTCAAAGAGCCTCTTATTCTGCTCTTAAACAATTTGCAAGAGATGTACTATAGCTGGCATTTAGCTCTTGCTTCCCTACCCTTTACTTGTACTGAGAAAATAGTTGTATATTGTGTTCAGGGACTACAATCTGCAATATGGCAACCCTAAGCAATGCCAGCTAACTTTGCTTTTATCCATCACCTCTTTGCTAAAAAACAGAGCTAGCATAAAGGAACCCACAGTTAAAAAAAATAGGAACTCTACCACTATTCTAAAATGTGATTGTTATTATCTAGTACTTGATTAAGAAGGAAGGAAGGAAGCATGCCCTTTTAGAGATAAAGGGCAAACAGTGTTTCATCCTGGAAATGTGGGCCAGTTATTTTGTATTTTAAGGATGGAAATGTGATAAGGGTTTTAAAAAGTTTACTCTGAAGGTAGCTTTTTAGTATTTGCAGACAATTGGACATTTTCCTGTGAAATTCTACTATCAGCATTTCTTTATTGGCATACAAGAAAGTTACATTCCAAATGCAAATAACTGAACAAAAATGAGTTATTTAAATATTAATTTGTTTGCCTTCCCAATCTCCTATTCTTGGCTTCAGATGCATTATTTATTCAAAGTAAAAATATCTCTGATCCTTTTCTTGAAATCACACAGTTTGCAAGATCACACAAGTTTTAATGAGAAGAGTTTTGAATATTTTTTTTTAAAAACTGGGAAAGTTGCTCTGAAGGTTTCGGGATAGAGAGCTGGACTATTACCCAGCAGCAACCAGGGGACTGTTGCAATTGGGAACAGGGACTAGATTTGCAGAATGGGACAATTGATTGCAGTGACATTGCCACACTCACTTCACCCCAGGTCCCCCCATTGCAGCCAACCTATTGTGAGTATTCGTTCTCAGCTGGCCCTCTACCAGCACTCCTGCCCCACTTGTTGGACCTGCTCAGTGGTGAGATTCAAATATGTGAACAACCGGTTCTCTGTGTGGATGCAGCTTCCAGAAGTCCATTCTGGGCCTGGGCAACAAAAAATTAGCTACCGTTTCTGCCGAAGTGGTGTGAACTGGCTGAATCTCACCACTGGACCTACCACAACATAAACCTCTAGCTTACAGAGTTGAATTCCCAGTTCCTCCCCTGAATTTCACTTTCAGCTCTGGGATCTGACAATTGTCTGGCCTCACAGGCCCCATTGGGATCAGGGGTGCTGGGGTGACTGGCTGGGCTGCTAATGCTGGTCTAAGAGTAAGAGTGGGCTGCTCCATGGGGGGGACTGGGCCAAGAGTTCCCCAAGCATTTCTTTGATGAGTTCAACCCTCTAGATGTCATGTCGGGAGCCCCCTCTGGGCTTGCCACAGGTTGTGCTGCTCTTCTGAGCAGCATGGCTTGGGCCTGGATCTTCTGGTGATGGTCAGCCCTGATTTTCTGACACAAAGTGACCATTGGGGTCAATCCTTCGCCATGGGAGACTCCTTCCATCTCTCAGGGGATTGGGGCAGTGGTGCCGGCTTCCACGAGGTTGTCTTAGGGTGGGCACCAGGTTCAGCTATGGTTCACTGATTTCTCCTCCAGGTTGAAGGAGCCCCCAGCTCCTCTCCCAGGTCAGGGCTTTTGCAGTTGCCCTCCAGTCCTGTCATGAGCTCTTACCCGACTTCCAGCTCTTCACTGGAGCTAGCCATGGTTCTAAAGGTTGCAAAATTCCCACAGTAGGTTAATCCTCTGTGTGGATTAAAGAATGCAATTCTTGCTTACTGTCAGACCTGCCACAACTTAAACTTCTAAATAGCTTCTTTAGCTCCATTTGTTGAGAAAGGTGTACTTTATTAGAGATTAACTGTATTGCATTAGTGCAAAGTCAGAACTGAAAATCACGTGCCAAAATCCCTAAGTTCCACTTTTCCCTCAACTGTCTCTCATTGCTCCCTCCAGTGGAACCAATCTGGTTCAGGCAAGATGTTTTCCTAATGATCAGTCCAAGTATAATTTGGTATATGGCCCTCTCCTTCTTCCAGCTGGGTGACCTTGAGGCAGCGTCTCAAAGAGATACAGACTTTCTTTTGTTTCCTGAAGCATTCCCTGCTTTATTCCTGTCTTCCCACAGTTTATGGCAGTCTGTCCTTACATAGTGAAGCACAAGCAAGCATAAAGTGGCAGCTGACCATGCCACTGATTCCCATCCTCTCCCCCCCTGCTGTGTGGCCACAGGTGATTCAATCAGGGACCTTGGGCAATTTGCTGCATGGGACAACTGTCCACCATCCAAACCATGTGCTGAGTGATGGGCCTCTGCCTTCCCATTGGACAGCAGCAGCCTCGGGTGCCTGGGAGGCGGGGGACAGAGCAGTGGCTCTGTGTGTTGACCCAGACTTAGAAGACAGTATCAATTGTGAATATGTGCAGATGGCCCTGCTATCTCTAGCCACTTGCAGAACCATCAATGCAAGGTCATGAAAGGACAGCAAAGAAAACACCCAATATCCTAACCCACCTGGTAACATATGGTGTCTTAGGGAAACACCCAAAAGGGAACATTTTTAGCTACTTCTGCTTTCTTCCTTCTTATCTACAGTGTGCCAGCCTTAAAGGGCAAAGTTTTTATCTTATGTGTGTCAGCTTTGCTGGGTGAATTGCTTATTAATCAAAGAAGGTATAAAAATAAGGCTTTTCTGATATTTGGGGCTTTTCCCCCTCTTTTAGAGAAGCCCATCTTTGTTCAGCTGAATAAAAACATAAAGCTTGAAAGCAACTTCTGGTTTTTAGCAAGCAAAACCTCAGAACTTGCATAGCATTTTTGGCGAGCCAGAGTTGCAGGAGGGGTGCTTGGTCCTTGGGAAGCTTGGGAAGGGGGAAGCGCCAAGTGTGCTCTGGGGTTTCCTGGAGGTGCCCCACCTTCTTGACTGTTCACTATGGCTTTTAAACAGGAACTAGTTTTTTCTTTTTTGCTGTTGTTGTTGCCTTCACTTGATTCCTGCATACTCAGGAGGGTTGAAGATAAAGTAAGCTTATATTGCTTTATTGCACAGGCTTACCTAGGGGAGTGTGTGTGTGTGTGTGTGTGTGTGTGTGTGTGTGTGTGTAAAAGTGTGTTTGTTTCCTTGAATCATTTCCCACTGTTGACCAGAGCTGGGTGGAAGGGTTTGCCTCAGCCACACCTAGACCCCCCCCCATGTCTGGGAGCATTTAGAAAACAAGGGGGGCTAAACTTGTATTCTCGTGCTCCAACGGGTTGTGAGTGTTGAATTTGGTTTGTGGTTTGTGGTTGCTCCTTATATATTTTCCGCTGTTGACCAGGCCTAGGTGTGATACTGATCCTAGCCGCCTGTAGCCCCCTGCGAGGCTGTTGTGCCATTAACCAGGGGTATCTACATTGCAAGGAGGATCAGTGGATCTCCTGTGGCCCAACAGGTTGTGCAAGTGGTGTGAGAGATTTAGACACATGGGCTCAGCCCAAGGAAGCCCTGTTAGAATGAATAAAAAGAAGGACTGTGCCCTCAGCCCCCTTGAGTGTGTTATCAGGAACTTTGATAAGCTTAAAACCCATTGGGATATGAAAATTGAAACTCTAACTAAGTACAATACCCTCTGGCATCAGTATATGCCTACTGTATGGCCCAAAGGAGGGGGGAACTGTGGGAGATTATGCTCAAAGAGGCATGGATCATGACCAACAAGCTTATTATGCACTTTTTTGGACTTTACAAAGGAATAAGCAGATACTTAAAGACTATGGGTTGTGGCAACTTCCTTCAGCACCACCTTTTCCTGTTTTATCTTCTGCTCTGCCACCTTATAAGGGGATTTACCCCCTCACAGGTAGCTATTGGAAGGGGGACACTAATAAGTCCAATGCAGTCTTTTGCCCTAAGACAGGATCAGTGTCATATACGTAAGAAATTTGGCCACTGGAGCAGGGAATGTCCTTAACGTTCCCTTTCCAGCCATCCTATAATGTGTGTTATTCTACAACCATGCTTTAAATACTAGGGGGGTCAGGGGCTGGGGGGGGGGCTTTGTCTCCCTGCCTTTTCAAATTTCTGCACCCCTAGTAAAGTTTAAAGTTGGAGGGAAAACAATACCTTTTTTGATTGATACAGGAGCATCATGTTCAGTATTAAAGAAGCCTCTTGGAAATTCTTCCTCACAAACATTCCAGGTTTATGGGGCCAGTAGCCAATCTATGTCAGCAGCAATACTTGACCCTTTAGAATGTTCTTTAGGTGATACTCGCCTTACTCATCAATTTCTTTACCTTCCAGATTGCCCTATGCCCCTTTTAGGGTGTGATTTGCTTGTTAAGTTACAGGCAACTCTTTCAAAGGGGACCAGGTTGAATTATCAGTTCCCCCTGAACAAGCCTAGCATGTCATGACCCTTCAACTTTTCTCATCTGAGTACACACATGAGTGTCCTCGTTTGTTAGATTGCTTTGTTAACTCTAATGTATGGTATTCGGGGGTCCCTGGCCAGGCTATTAACGCAGTTCCGGTGGAAGTAGCCTTGCACCCTGATGCCAGTCTCCATTTGTCAATATCCAATTAGCTTGGATGCTTTACAAGGGTTAGAGCCCTTCATTACTAATTTCCTTGCTTATGGGCTTCTCAGGAAACTGTTAGTCCTTATAATACACCAGTTCAGCCTGTTAAAAAGCCAGATGCCTCTATTCGTTTCTGCCAGGACTTAAGAGCAATTAATCAGATCACTGTGACATTGCATCAAATGGTGCCTGACCCCTATACACTGATTTCTCAACTGGGTCCACAGCTTATTTGGTACACTGTTATTGATCTAAAAGATGTTTTCTTTTGTGTCCCTTTGTCTCTTGTTAGCCAGCCCCTATTTGTTTTTCAGTGGCAACATAGGCAACTTTGCTGGACTGTTTTACCTCAAGGATTTAAAAATAGCCCTACTACTTTTGGTACTCTCCTGGCCACTGATTTAGCCACATGGCGACCTGTGGAGAACATTATGCTGTGGTATTACAATATGTCGATGACTTACTGGTAACTGCCCCCACTGAGGGCGATTGTCTTTTGAATTCAGATTCTTTGTTAAATTCCCTTTGTTACTGGGGCTATAAAGTTTCCTGTACTAAAGCCCAGCTTGTTAAACAGGAGGTTCGGTATTTAGGTTATATTCTGTCAAAAGGGACTAGAAAATTATCCCTGGAGAGGATCCAGGCTGTGTGCCTCCTTAAGCCACCTGGTACTAAGCCTCAGCTTAGGGGTTTCTTGAGAATGGCAGGTTTCTGTCATATTTGGATTCCAAATTTTGCTTTAATGGCTAAGCCCTTATATCAGGCCACTACAGGCTCAGATAAAGAACCCTTTGAATGGACCAAGGATTGTTAGGTGGCATTTGATAACATTAAGACTGCTTTAGTCAAAGCTTCAGCCCTTGGCATTCCTGATGTCACTAAACCATTCACCTTGTATGTGGCTGAAAGTAAAGGAGTGGCTGCTGGGTTTGTTTGGTTTTATAATTATAAATTATATTCTATAAGTTGCCCAGAGCCTATTGGAGTGGGTAGCTACATTAAATCTAATAAATAATAATAATAATGAATTGCAAAAGGCAGTTTTACAGAGAACAACTTACACCCTGTGACAATACCTTTAACATCATCAAATAACAATATCAGCCTATTCCAGGTCCTTGGGAAAGACTTGATAGATGGATAAAAATGTCAAATCCAGTCTAAATATTTGGGGGATTTGCAACAAACCATAATAATAAGGAAAGTTCATCTTCCTTTTTTCATTCTCTATCATGCCATATCAAAAAATAAAAAATAAACCTCCTAGCTCATGGTTTCAGTAATTAAAATTGTCCATTAATTCATCTAATAGTGTTAACTAATATTTTTGTTACTTAAATCAAACTGTGAAATCTTAGCTACGTAATGAAATCAAAATAGTTCTCAAAGGTTTATCACCTAGTGACATATATACAGTATTGCACATGTTTCATTAACTTAAAATTACAGTTATTTTGTCTTTCAGAATAAAGAATCATTGGGTTAGTAAAAGCTTGCATCAACATTGGAGAAATAATTATGACAGAAGTAGTTAATTATAATAAAAAGTGCTGAGAGCTAGATTATTATTAATGACACAATACCTGCATCACCAAATTTACCTATCCTACATTTGCTATCTCATATTTTCAAACCATTCCATGAGGCCAGCACTAAAGCAACTCATGCTTTGTCATGAAACACTATGATACCACTAAGCTATTAACTGTGTCACTTCTGGGACCCAATTTTTCCTGGTCCTCATTCAAAATTTCCAAAGAGGGGATTACAGTTACTTTATACAGTTGTGTTTTTGATCTGCTTTGGGAATGGTACTGTTTCCCTGTGTGCACTCTCATCAGATCTGCTAAGCCTATGCATATTTCCTTACAAATAATAATCAAACATATTTAATGTTCTGTTTTTCAAAGTAAATGTGCCTTCTAAAAGTTTTCTGGACTTCCCATCATATAGAATAGTAGTAGATGAAGCCTATTTATTTTCTTGGCATGTCAGACTATGTAATGATTTTTATAATAGTAAGGGAAATTAATGATTAATTAATTAATTAATCATTAATCATTATAAAAAAGGTTCCAGATGTTGTAACCAGAGCCACTGAAAGATACTGCTTTTTTTCCATGTGTGAAAGAGGACAATTGTCCTGTCTCTTCACTGCAGGCACAGAGACTGACATAGCTGGTGTTTGATCTGACCAGTAGATGGTATTTTGCTTCAGACCTTTGTACCAACATGAAAATAGAGGATCAAGGAGACCACCATAGCAGCCAGCTAGAAAAGAAAAGAGAAAGTGAAATGAGACTGACATAAACAAATTGCATGTTGCTTTACTAATCTGATACAGCCTATGACATAAAATGGACTTAAAATCTCCTCAAAGCCTACAGAACCTATTCAATTATTTTTTCTAGATTTTAGAAGGATTATAACATTTTGGAGGAAAAAATGCAGTATTTCTATGACAGTATAGCGTGACAGCATCTAGGCAAACTAGACCTGATCAAAGAAAGTAATCAGATGAATGATACAGTTTTTCTAAAGTCTCTACCAAATAAAACAGTGGACATACATTATCCATGCTGTCTGGGATTTTGCAATAAATTTAATCAAAATTACTTTTGGAAAGCAAATTCTTGGGTCTATGTAAATAATGTCATGAATCTTAAGATCAGGAGAATGGGTCTATATAGGCCTACCTCAACCATTCCAACTGCTAGAGCCACTCCTCCGACAATCTTCCCATTGTGGTTCAGAAACATTTCAAATTCAAACAAGCAGCCCTGAAAGACAAAGAAATATGATGTAGTGGAGAGAATTTGTTATCACTTTTCTATGCTACCAAAATCTCTTGATATCAGTACCAGCACAAGAGTTCTGGATCATTTTGCCAATATATTGAATTCCTTGGGACTCTAATAAAGTAGGGTGCATAGTGGAAAAATTCAGACACCTTTATTTTAAAAGCATATATGTATTAGCATCATTCTATAAAAATATTTTTACTTCTTGTCATTAGGCATCAAGCTTGGAGACAATGAATATAAAAAGGCCTACTTGATTTTAGAAAGTTTCTGCATTTTTTAAATTTTTGATATATTTGATATATTATATATATATATATATATATATATATATATATATATATATATATATATATATATATATATATATGTTTTCTGAGGTTTTCGCGGGTATTTGTATGTAGGTCTTTGGTTGTTCGGGTTTTCTCCCACATAAAATTGGAAGTGTCTTGGCGACGTTTCGACGAAGTCCCATTCGTCATCTTCAGGCTGGTGTTTTCAGCTTCGTGCTTTGAGCAGCAATGTGTGGTCTTAGCTGTTTCTTCCTTTTAACTGCCAGTGGGGGTATGAACTGATTGGGTGGGAGCTTGGCTGTGTTCCGATTGGGTGGAGGTGTGTTCTGATTGGTTAGGGGCTTGGCTGTGCTCTGATTGGCTGGGGGGTTGGCTGTGCTCTGATTGGCTGGGGGAGTGTTCTGTTTGGGTGGGGGCTTTGTTGTGCTCAGGTTAGTCTGAGTTGCAGGAGGATTTAAAATGGTGAGCTGCATTGCTATTTTTTGGCTTCGCGTTCGTGGTTGTGCCTCATCTTCATGGTGGGTGTCAGTTTGCTTCATGTATAGATTGGAGGGGTTTAAAGTGGCTAATGATGGAGCTGTGGTCTGGCTTCTGGTTTGTGGTTGTGCCTCATCATCGGTGTGGCTTTGGGTTTGCTTTTTGCGTGGATGTGTGGTGGTGACATCCTGTGTGGTTTTTGTGAGTGTGGGTCTGGTGTCATTTTTTGTGTTAGGGAGTCGTTTGTCAATAAGGACGGGTTTCCAAATGGCTGGTAGGTGGGAGTTATCATCTCGTTTGTTCATGCTGTGTGGGCGTTTTTCTATCTCGATGGCTTCTCTGATTATTCTGTTATTAAAATGTTCAGTTTGGGTGATAGTTCTGGTATTTTTAAAGTCAATTTCATGTCTTGTGGCTTTAAGGTGTTGGACCAGGAAAGATGTTGGTTCCTCTTTTTTGACTGAGTTCTTATGTTTTTCAGTGCATGCACTTATTCTTCTGTTGGTTTGTCTGATGTATGTGTTGGGACAAGCAGTGCATGGGATTTCATATACTCCTTGATTTTCTAATTCAATTTTATCTTTGGGGTTTCTTAGGATGGTGGATATTTTTCTGTTTGTGCAGAATGCCGTTTTGATGTTGTGTTTATGGAGGATCTTGCTGATTCTGTCTGTGGTGCCTTTTATGTATGGGAGGAGGGCTTTGCCATTTTCTTGTTCTCTGTCTTGGATTTTAGTGGGGGTTTCTTTTTGGATTAGGTTTTTAATCTTATTTCTTTGGAATCCATTGGATGCTAGTACATTGGTGAGAGTGTGTAGTTCGGTTTTTAGGTGTTGTTCGTCAGCTAAGCATTTTGTCCTGGAGATGAGTGTCTTGGCTACGGAGTTGATCTGTGTTGGGTGGTGGTGTGAGAGAGCGTGCAGATAGCGGTTTGTGTGTGTTTTCTTCTGGTAGATGGTGTGTCCTAGGGAGCCATTGGATTTCTTGTAGACTAAGACATCTAGGAAGGGAAGTTGGTTATTAGCTTCTGTTTCCATGGTGAACTGTATTTTGGGGTGTAGGCTGTTGAGGTGTGTGAGGAAGTTGTCCAGTTTTTCTTTCCCATGTGGCCAGATTTTCCCGCCTACCAGCCATTTGGAAACCCGTCCTTTTTTTTATTATTATTGAAAGTTTTTAAAATTTTACAATAAAATACTCCCCCCCTCCTGCCCCCCCACCCCCCTGCTTCCCAGAGCTGAATACAGTGTTAAAAACAACAAAAAACATACAACTTAGATGAACATCAAACAATTATACATACATCCAAAAAACAAAATTTAAATACTTTAACTCCAATACATAAAAGCAAAGATTCTAACCTTTACCCTTAAACATAAATTATTCAAAAGCTAAATAATATTTTCTAATCTCAAATTTATTCTGTATAAAATTCACCCATCTTTTCCACACCAAAATATATTTCTCTTGTGACTGATCTTTCAAATAAGCTGAAATTTTTGCCATTTCAGATAAATAAGAAACTTTAAGAAATCATTCTTCTAAAGTAGGCAAAGAGTCCTTCTTCCAATATTGCCCAATCAGCAACCTTGCCGCTGTAATTAAATTCAACATTAGAATAATTTCTTTAGCATCACAATCAACAATAATGCCTAACAAAAACAATTGTGGTGTAAATTTTATCCTTCTATTAAAAATCTTCTGAATGTTCCACCAAATCTTAATCCAGAAAGCTTTTATATTTCTACATGACCACCAAATATGATAATAGGTTGCATCCAAACAACCACATCTCCAACATTTAGGCTGCACATTTGAATACATACGAGACATCTTTTGTGGATCAAGGTGCCACCTATAAAACATTTTATAAAAATTTTCTCGTAAATTTTGAGCCTGAGTAAATTTAACATTCCTCACCCAAATTATCTCCCATGTATCTAATAAAATCAGCTCATCAAAATTTTGAGCCCATTTAACCATACAATCTTTAACTAATTCTGTTTCTGAATCCAATTCCACTAAAACACTATAAACTCTTTTTATATGAGTTCGACTTTGATCTTTAATTTGTTTCATCAAATTCACATCCTCCCTAATAAAACCCACTTTTTGATCTATTCTCCACCTTTCTAATAATTGCCTATACTGAAACCAAGAATAATTAATATTTTCTTGCGCTAATTCATCCATAGATTTTAATTGCCAATTATTCCCGTCCCAATTAAGCAATTGTTTATAAGAAATACTCTCCATTTTCACTCCTTTCCTTATCCCTTCTATTGCACGCCCTGGAATTCCCCACAACGGTATTCTAGAATCTGATCTATAATATTTCTTCCAAACTCGCAATAAAGAAATTCTCAGGATATGGGACTTAAAAACCCTATCCACCTTTTTATTATAAATTAAATATACATGCCATCCATATAATAAGTCCCATCCCTCCCAAAAAAGTACCGTATTTTCCGGCGTATAAGACGACTGGGCGTATAAGACGACCCCCAACTTTTCCAGTTAAAATATAGAGTTTGGGCTATACTCAACGTATAAGACTACCCCTCTTCCAACGCACACCAAATAAAAATTTAAAAACATCAGATTTGATTTCAATATGGTAATTTTAATTCAAATGCTTATGACATGCAGGTACTTAGCAGAAAAACTGTCATTTATAAACATAAGGCTGTCATCAAACATATAAACATAAAACAGTGCAAGTGGATTAAACTTTTCCTAATTCACTCTAAAGCTGAAAGGAAGGATAAGACAATAAACCCATGGGAGCTGCCATGCTGTTTGTTTTCTAAGCTGTCAACCAAACTGAACTGATGATGATAGGAGGAAGATAAAAAAACAATAGAAAGAGCAAGTGCCGGGCAAGTCCCTGGCGAGTCAGCAACGCCCATCATAACAGGTTTTGCTTGCGTGACAGTTTCCCTTTAAAAGCCTTCAAAATCATCCTGTTCATCATCTGATATCATAAAAATATCAATGACATCTTGTGGTACATTTGTAAGGCAGTCATCATATGGATCGAATTCCGTATCAGATGGTGTGGTCTCAGCTTCAGCTTCCTCTTCATTTTGCCACAAGTAGTCATCCTCCATACCATCTAATGAATTTGATATGCCACACTTCTTGAAAGACTTGATTACTGTTTCTGCATCCCTCCCCATGAGCAACATTGAGGTGATCACACCCACCTTGGTGATCATGACCACCCAATCTGCCATGACCACCACAGCCATGCCCATCCAGTGGGCCATGCCCACCTGGCACCCGGTAATAAATAAGTGGGTTGCAGTTTGGGCACTCGGTCTCTGAATGGTTCGCCATCACTGTTGTAGGATGTTGACAGACTTAGAACAGATATTGTTTATGAATGCCCTGGAAAATGCTTTTTCTTCAATCTGCTATTAAATTAGGCCAACCAAGTTAGAACTTCAGATATGATGTATTATTTTATTGTGTAATATTGCCTGAAATTTGACATTTTAAGTATGATTTTTCTCCAAAACTAGACCAATATCTCTTTTTTACTTCATAGTTATATCCATATAAAAGGGAAAGTTCCTTAGCTGCCAAAAATATTTTTAGTTGTATCACTTTATTCTGATCCTTGGACAAGAATGCAATAATTTTGATTATCCTTCAATAGACTTCTCTAGGAGTATTTTTAAATGTGTCTGTATGCCTTTAGATATGTAGCTTGTAAAAACATTGAGTATATATAACACTATCCACTTTCAGCAGAAAGCAGCTAGGCATAGTTTAATGATATTGTCGAGCCCCGCGGGGCTAACCTGTACGGGCAGACGCGAGGCCGGCTGTGGTATTGCCGCCGCCCAGCTGCCACTCGGCAAACTGGACCCGTCGCCCAGCTGCCACCCGGCTGACCGGCTCCTGATACCCCGTGGGGTCGACACATACTGGCAGGGGCCTGTCCCATCAAACCTTCTCCCAGCTGGTAGGCGCAAGCCAGAAAGACACGTGGCCAACGGATGCCGGAGGTTGGCTGTGATGCACTTACAGGCGCCGGGGGGACTTTGCAGGCTGCTGGCTGGCTATCGTGACTGATGCCTTTGGTTTCTCGGGCTACTGGGTTCACAGCAGGGTCAGCCTACGGACTAGCGCCTTGCCAGTCCAAGCAACCAGACTGCCAGAGACACTTAGGGACAGGGAGCACAATGAGAGACAGCAATGGAAAGA